GGAAAAAGTCTTAACGGTCTCCATTCTAATAATGGGGTCTGGCTACATCGGCAGCGCTAGGCCACTGCCTCAGGTCAAACGTGATGACGTCCTTCACGTTCTGCTTTTAACTGGCCTGAAACGTGTCCTAGCGGACACGTGTGCTGCATTCCTAATATCATAGCGGTTGCAATTCATCTGACTCCATATTAAATTTAGGATATACACTTCAGCTATAACCCTTTGCGGTTACGATTAAATTATCCGTTTACATAAATATTGATCTGACTCTAATTTATTAATTTAGAGCTATGTTGTGCATCGGACTCGTAACTGGTCTATATCTTACTCTGCCGGACCAAAACCTCTGTAGAGCCCAATCCGATGGAAGAACTCAGAGGCTGGCGGTCCTATTAAGCACAGTAATTTGACATAGAAAATAGCTATGACTAGGGATTACTGGGGCTTAAGGCGAGATTTCTGTTCAGAGACCGATTCCTATTCAGTATAACGGAATCTCCTGGAAAATTCCATTCAGGGACCGATTCCTATTCGGTTTAACAGAATTTCCTTGAAGCCAATCAAAATAACACTCATCACAGTGTGGAAAATCCATCTTATAACGCAGACCAAGCGTGTTGATCGGGCATGCGATTACAGTTACGTTACCCAATTAGGAGACAGGACTCCGGGCTGGAAGGATATAAGTTAGTTAGAATCAGAAACACACAACAGAATGCAATTACCAATTTATTTCACCAGGCAGGCACAAGTTTAAATCGCAATAACCAATTACATCATTACAGAAAAGATAAAAAAAGAAGTCAAATCATACCTGGCGCAGCTCACAACTACACATACACACTAATGTACACTAAGTACAATGTGGGAAGGTTAAATACAAGCTTCCATGGCTATTTAACGTCTGCACATGGCTGCAGGAGCACGGGTGGGAAATCGCCTAAGATCTTCCATGACTAGATTAAAGCTACCCACGGCATGGAGATGCATGTGGGGAAAGTTGAATGCAATCTTCCATTATGATAACGGCCCCACACATACAAATGAATGTGTGGGGAAGTCGTCTACGATCTTCCATAACTATAGACTATTGGCTACACATGGCATATAGATGCACGTGTGGGAAGTCGGTTGCGATCCTTCCCGAATCCTTTGTTTCCCTACCTTTTATTCCCAAACTCTGGAAGCACTTCCTTTAGCGGAGTCATAAGTCACTTGAGTAATTCGAACCAGGAAGGCGCCTCCTCCCCGGTGGAACTTTGGGCAGTGACATTACCATGAGGAGAAGTAGAAGTATATTTCTTTTCATGCTTATTGACTGAGGGTTTAGTACACTTTTAATCCCTTCAAAATATGCCCCATGCGATTCTGGAAATTTAGTGCAGTAAAATGATACCAAACACCATAAGCTGACACTACAGTTTGCAATGAAATGTCCGTTACAGTCCATAATTACAAAGATAACTGATATTAATGTTAACAATCAGCTTATGTCATATAACAAAAATACACATTGGATTTGCAACATTACGGGAGGTAATGTGAACTATTTTGCTGGTGTAGTCTCTGAAAAGTCCAGTTTATGGCACTGGCATTGTCTCTGCCAAAGTGGTCTCAGCCGTTTTTGGGTTGTTTGCAAGACATTCAACAGCGACCTTTACCCCAGAGCTTGTCCATTAACCCCGAGGCCGGTGGCCACTCCAGCTGCGGCAAATTAAGTTGGCGCCATACAGACCCTAATTGAGTCTGCTCTCATGACCCCAGAGATCTCTGCTAGGTGCTGGGGCCTTTAACCCTCTAGGCGCCAAAGTTGCAAAATTGTGACAAGGAACATTGCTGAATAAAACAGACCGTAGCTCCAAATATACTGCCAAATCTTGTTAATTCTTTGTACCCCTAGATGGCGAACATGTGCAGCTTCAATCCTAACGTAGTTTGTGGGTGTGTTTCTATTCAGAAAGTTTGAGAAAAAAAAGTTTGAAACACAGAGGGAGGGGCAGACTTGGAGCGAGCGGAGCGAAGGCAGAGAGAGTGGTGTCAGAGATAGCCGAGCGAGAGACAGCAGATAGAGAAAGAGCGAAATATAGCGGGAAAAAAACATAAAATGCTGAAAGGATTTTTTACTGTTGACAAAGTACTGCGTCAAGTACTTGCCCATTCAGATTCTGATGGGAATTATTTACCCTCAGATGACAATTGGTTGCCAAGCAAGGGAAGTGAAAGTGACGGTGCGTCTGTACATATGCGCGATGACGGTCCACACGAAGCAGCACATCACATTGATCATACTCAGACTTTGCCTTACCACGGTCGGGGTGGCAGAAATCAGCCGAGGAGGGGACGTGTTGGAGGCAGCAGGGGTGGTCACAGCAGGGCTGTAAATAGTGATGATGATAGCTGGGTTTACTTGGGAAACGAGAAAGTGTATCACAAGTGGATCAGGGACTTTGATGAGCCTGTTGGCTATCGTGGAGACAAGGATCTCACAAATGCAAAACCCATTGATTTCCTCTCACTATTTTTAGATGATGATTTCAGGAGCATATTCACTAATGAAACCAACAGATATGCTAATCAGTTCTTAGACAGAGAACAGATAAAACAAAAATCCAGATTCAATGACTGGTATGATGTTACTGTCCCTGAGATGAAAGCTTTCATGTCACTTCATCTGTGCATGGGGCTTGTAGAGAAGTCTGAGATTGAGGACTACTGGGCTGGATTTTGGCCAATTTATACACCTGGCTTTGGCAAAGTGATGACACAGAACAGATTTGAAATAATCCTTTCTTTGCTCCACTTTGCAAATAATGCAGAACATGTTGAGAGGGGTCAGCCAGGCCATGATAGATTGTTCAAAGTGTGTCCAATAATTGATTTGATAATTCCTCGTTTTTCAGCTGTCTATGGTCCACTCAAGGAACTTTCCCTGGATGAAATAACCATTGGATTCAAGGGAAGGTCAACCTCAAAACTGTACAATCCCAGAAAACCTGACAAATATGGCTACAAAGCATTAGTCTTGAGTGAAGCCAGCACAGGCTATGTTCTACAGTGTTCCATATACACTGGACGCAATACAGATGTGGATGATGATGTAGGTGAAACCCATCTTATTGTCCATCAGCTGATGGCCCCATACACAGGGAAAGGGCATGAGGTGTATATGGATAGCTACTACACATCCCCAGCCATAGCTAACGAAACTGGACTGTGTGGGACAGTGAACTGCAACAGGCGAGGGATGCTAATGGGCCTGAGACCAGCCCAGTTGCCTTTGAGAAGGGAAGATGACCCAGTGTTCATGCGACATGATAAACTGCTGGCTTGTGCATGGCATGACACAAAGTATCTCACTATGCTGTCATCCATTCACGGGAACACATGCGTTCAGAAACATATTCGAACAAAGGAAAATGTGACTGGTTTTTGTAACATCACAAAACCAGTGTGTGTTGACAGTTATAACTCCTTTATGGGAGGGTTAGAAACTGCTGACCAGCGAATGAAAACGTACCTCTTTCCACACCAATCCAGGAAATGGTACAACCGCATTTTCAATACAGTTCTCAGCATCAGTGTGGTCAATGCCCACATCATTTACATGCAGTGTAGTCCTGGTTCACACAAACCACTGAAGGGCTTCATTCAGGATATTGAAACTGGTTTGCTTGAGGGTTACTCCAAGAAGGAAGGCAAAAAAGGAGGAAGGCCTTCAATGGAAGGGGGAGAAATGCCATAGTGGCTCACTGAGCGCCACTGGCTTTGCAATACTGAGGATCGTCCAGATTGTGTAGTTTGTTCAGATTGCACCCGTCCTAAAGGGTGTTGACAGACACAGTTCAGGTGCAGTCAGTGTGGGGTAGGTCTGTGTGCTGTGCCTTGAGAGAGAGAGATGAGAGATACCACACTCTGAAAAACTACAAACAATGCCATCTCGATAGGTAGTCAGATTAGGCTTCTGTGCTACTTGGCTGACGGGCTAATAAAAACTACATTTTATTACTGTCTGTTTTACCTTTCAATGATTCCTGTTCTTTTACTTTGAGGATGAGAAAACAACAAAAAAAAAACAAAAAAATCTACTGTGTAAATATGTTCAAAATTCAGTTTTACTGAGTTATGTAATCCAATTTTCCCGCCAGTGACATCATAATATGCAAATTACATGAATGAATTTACTCCCATCTGATTCCTGTTCCTTTTGTTTGAGGATGAGATGACAAAAACCAAACAAAACAAAAAAAATCTACTGCGTAAATATGTTCAAAATTCAGTTTTACTGAGTTATGTAATCCAATTTGCCTGCCAGTGACGTCATAATATGCAAATTAGATGAACGAATTTACTCCCATCAGATTCCTGTTCTTTGGTTTTTGTCATCTCATCCTCAAACAAAACAAAAAAATATCTGTGTAAATATGTTCAAAATTCAGTTTTAATGAGAGTTATGTAATCCAATATGGTCGCCGCCTAGAGACGTCACAATATGCAAATTAGATGAGTAAATTTACTCCCCTCACAAACTTTGGGTCATAATGAACATTTTTCTCATTTACAGTGTGCCTTTATCTCTCACCACTTTCAAGCTACAACCTTTTTAAATCTTGAAGTGAAAATTGATTATTTTCCCAAATTAACTCCGGCGCCTAAAGGGTTAAGACAATAAGGGTCTGTTTGCCAGAGTCCTGCTTTCCAGCGCGGCTTACCCCTGGTTTGTCTCAAAATGTCTGCACATGTCACAATCTGTTCTGCTGCTGCTGCTGCCTCTCCCTCTGCCTGGCCACACCCCTTCCACTGCAATTGTTCTCAGCTGAGTCTCGTTACCCAGCCAGCATATATGCAGCTCTGTTTCACTAAGATTGTCGTTGCAGCATGCACTACTCTCCAGCGTTTATCTTCGGTCTGACTTCACCCGTCCCGACCTGAAGCCACCCGTCTTGCCACTCCACTGCCTGCCTGTGTGGATACGACCCAGTCTGCCGAGCCCAAGCCAGCCTGCTCCGGTGGGCCAGTGGTAACTCTCCCGCCTGCAGTGTGGGCGACCCGGGTTCAAATCCCGCCATTGGTGCCTGTTCCCTCAAGTTTCCAGAAGAGCTCCACTCAAGACCCGCAAGCTCCAGATCCTGATCTACACTAAGCTACTCTGCACTGCAATCTGTTTGCCCCTGCCTTGAAGTCATTAAAGATCTGTAAACATTCACTCGCTCTGATTGTGTTGCTTTTGGGTCCTGCCACTCACCGTGTCAGTACAATCTGGCCAGAAATGGACCCAGCACGCAATCCAACTCCCCTGAGCCGACTGGAGAAGATTGATGTCATCCTCCAGCACCCTGAGGTTGTGATGTCTGCTGCTGCCTCCGACACCAGGCAATCCTTCACAGCATTAGTTAAGTGCATGAGTTAAGTGCATTTGGCGGTTGCGGAAGCTTGCTACAGATTCCTCCTCGAGCAGGCTAAGCTTCAGCGTTTTCTTGTCTAATAGCACTCGTGATTTAGAGTTCCACGTTGTTGTTGTTGTTGCTGCAGGGCACTTATTACTATCAGTTTCGGTTTCAATCGCAGGCGTTCAGCTGTTTTGTGTAGTAATTAGCGAGGCTTTTAAGCACTGGTTCGAGTGATGCATTGCATCACTCCCTCACATTTTCTCGACTCTTTTCCCACCCCCATCTGAGTATGTGCATCCTTCCCATCCCTGTCTGTTCTTTCCCTCAGAAGGCGATTCTACTGCCGGGGCCGCCCTCGTCATCGCTGGCCGCCAACCTGATCTACCCCTCATCCACTTCACCAACACCTTCCGGGTTGCCGCTGGACTTTGGAACTGCCAGTCTGCTGTCCGGAAGGCTGAGTTCATCTGCGGATATGCCACTCTGCCAGTCCCTCAACTTCCTCGTGCTGACAGAGACGTGGATTTCCCCGGACAACACCACAACCCCGACAGCTCTCTCCACCTCTTTCCCCTTCTCTCACACCCCCCGGCCATCCGGGCGAGGTGGGGGGACCGGTTTGTTGATCTCCCCTACCTGGAAATGTCCTCCTCTTCCTCTCTCTCACCTTTCTATCTCTACCTTTGAATTTCATTCTGTCTCTATATCCTCTCCAATTAACGTTTATCATTGTTGTGTATCGTCCCCCAGGCACATTAGGATGTTTCTTCGATGAGCTGTACATCCTACTCAGCACCTTCCCCGAGGACGGCACCCCACTGATCCTCCTGGGAGACTTCAACCTCCACCTAGTGGCCTCTCAGTCTACCGCCTTTCTTCCTATCCTCCACTCCTTTGGCCTTTCCCTCCTGCCCTCACCTCCAACCCACAAAGCTGGCAACCTCCTTGACTTAGTCCTTCTTTACAACTGCTCCTCCTCTGATCCCACTGCAATACCTCTCCACCTGTCTAATCACCACTTCATCTCCTTCTCCCCCCCTCTCCCTCTCTCCCCCCTCTCCCTCTCTGGCCCCCACTGTTACAGTTTGCCGTGACCTCTGCTCTCTCTCGCAACCATGTCACTGCTTCTCTCCCTTCCCTTGAATCCTTCTCTGATCTCCCCACTGAATCTGCTGCCTCTTTTCTCTTCCCTACCCTCTCATCTTCACTTAACGCTCTCTCTCCTCTTGTTTCCAGGCCAGCCAGATCATCCTCACCCCGCCCCTGGATAACAGAAACACTCCGCTCCAACAGGAAAAGTCTCCGAGCAGCAGAGAAGAAATGGAGGAAATCCATTTCCCATTACCAGTCCCTCCAAGCTGAATTCTCTTCTTTGATCTCCTCTGCTAAAATTAAATTTTACCAATCTAAAATCCATAACTCAATCTCTAACCCTCGCCAATTGTTTTCAATCCTTGATTTTGTTCATTTTATTTGGTCTTTTTGTCTGTATATTTACTGCTTGTAACAACTGAATGATGTGTTCTCTGTCAGAGGACAGATAAAACTTGTCTCCAGATTCAATGACTGGTATGATGTTACTGTCCCTGAGATGAAAGCTTTCATGATACTTCATCTGTGCATGGGGCTTGTAGAGAAGTCTGAGATTGAGGACTACTGGGCTGGATTTTGGCCAATTTATACACCTGGCTTTGGCAAAGTGATGACACAGAACAGATTGAAATAATCCTTTTTTTTCCTCCACTTTGCAAATAATGCAGAACATGTTGAGAGGGGTCAGCCAGGCCATGATAGATTGTTCAAAGTGCATCCAATAATTGATTTGATAATTCCTCGTTTTTCAGCTGTCTATGGTCCACTCAAGGAACTTTCCTGGATGAAATAACCATTGCATTCAAGGGAAGGTCAACCTCAAAACTGTACAATCCCAGAAAACCTGACAAATATGGCTACAAAGTATTAGTCTTTGAAGCCAGCACAGGCTCCATGGCTACAGTGTTCCATATACACTGGATGCAATACAGATTTGGATGATGATGGTGCAACCCATCTTATTGTCCGTCAGCTGATGGCCCCATGCCACAGGGAAAGGGCATGAGGTGTATATGGATAGCTACTACACATCCCCAGCCATACCTAACGAGTTAGCTGCTAACTAAACTGGACTCCATGGGACAGTGAACTGCAACAGGCGAGGATGCCAAGGGGCCTGAGACCGCCCAGTTGCCTTTGAGAAGGGGAGATGACCCAGTGTTGTATGAGCGACATGATAAACTGCTGGCTTGTGCATGGCATGAGCGAAGCATCTCACTATGCTGTCATCCATTGGAACACAGGTTCAGAAACTCGAACAAAGGAAAATGTGACTGGTTTTGTAACATCACAAAACCAGTGTGTGTTGACAGTTATAACTCATTTATGGGAGGATTAGAAACTGCTGACCAGCGAATGAAAAACCCTTTCCACACCGATCCAGGAAATGGTACAACCGCATTTTCACCTACTGCATCAGTGTGGTCAATGCCCACATCATTTACATGCAGTGTAGTCCTGGTTCACACAAACCCTGAAGGGCTTCATTCAGGATATTGAAACTGGTTTGCTTGAGGGTTACTTCAAAAAAAAGGAAGGCAAAAAAAAAGGAGGAAGGCCTTCAATGGAAGGGGAGAAATGCCACATGGCTCACTGAGCGCCACTGGCTTGCATAATACTGAGGATCGCCCAGATTGTGTAGTTTGTTCAGATCGCACCTGTCCTAAAGGGCGTTGACAGACACAGTTCAGGTGCAGTCAGTGTGGCGTGGGTCTGTGTGCTGTGCCTTGAGAGAGAGAGATGAGAGATACCACACTCTGAAAAACTACAAACAATGCCATCTTGATAGGTTACCCGATTAGGCTTCTGTGCTACTTGGCTGACGGTCTAATAAAAACTACATGTTATTACTGTCTGTTTTACCTTTCACTGATTCCTGTTCTTTTACTTTGAGGACGAGAAAACAACAAAAAAAACAAAAAAATCTACTGTGTAAATATGTTCAAAATTCAGTTTTACTGAGTTATGTAATACAATTTGCCCGTCAGTGACGTCATAATATGCAAATTAGATGAATGAATTTACTCCCATCAGATTCCTGTTCCTTTAGTTTGAGGATGAGATGACAAAAACCAAACAGAACAAAAAAAAATCTACTGTGTAAATATGTTCAAAATTCAGTTTTACTGAGTTATGTAATCCAATTTGCCTGCCAGTGACGTCATAATATGCAAATTAGATGAACGAATTTACTCCCATCAGATTCCTGTTCTTGGTTTTTGTCATCTCATCCTCAAAAACAAGAACAAAAAAAATCTGTGTAAATATGTTCAAAATTCAGTTTTAATGAGAGTTATGTAATCCAATAAGAACCGCTACCTAGAGACGCCACAATATGCAAATTAGATGAGTTCTGGGGGCCTCCCCTCACAAACTTTGGGTCATAATGAACATTTTTCTCATTTACAGTGTGCCTTTATATCTCACCACTTTCAAGCAACAACCTTTTTTAAATCTTGAAGTGAAAATGGACTCTTTTCCCAAATTAACTCCGGTGCCTAAAGGGTTAAGACAATCAGGGTCTGTTTGCCAGAGTCCTGCTTTCCACTTGTGGCTTACCCCTGGTTTGTCTCAAAATGTCTGCACATGTCACAATCTGTTCTGCTGCTGCTGCTGCCTCTCCCTCTGCCTGGCCACACCCCTTCCACTGCAATTGTTCTCAGCTGAGTCTCGTTACCCAGCCAGCATATATGCAGCTCTGTTTCACTAAGATTGTCGTTGCAGCATGCACTAATCTCCAGCGTTTATCTTCGGTCTGACTTCTTGGAATAGACTCTGCCTGTCTCTGACGACGTCCTCTCGTTCCTGCCCTGGTAAACCTGATTGCCTTCTACCTCTGACTCTGAGTTCTGCCTATGTGCTTCCTGATTCCCGTCTGCCTTCTTCCAAGCCCCTGTCCAAGCCACCCGTCTTGCCACTCCACTGCTGTTCTCCCTCCAGCCCCATACCTTCGCCTCATAGCAGGCTTTCACGATTAATCACCTGACTGATCGGGCTCGCCTGTGGGGTACCGCTGAATGGGAGAGAGTCTCCAGCCTGCGTCTCCTTCCAGTCCTTCGCCGAGGAGTTACGTAAGGTCTTGAGCTTGGGGATCTCAAGCTCCAAGGCTGATCAGGGGCTACTGAGCCTAAAACAGGGGAATAGACTGGTTGCGGACAACTCCATCGACTTCCGCACTAGAGCCAGCCGGAGCCGCTGGAACCCTGCAGCCCAGGTGAATGCCTTCCTCCATAGTCTGGCTGATTACCTCAAGGATGAGCTGGTCTTGTATGAGGTTCCCTCCACACTTGACGGAATCATTGAGGTAGCCGTTAGAATTGACCTTCGCATCCAGGCCCGTAGGCAGGAGAGAAGTCAGGGGGCCTCCCACTGCCAGACGCTAGCCTGATCCAGTGCGAGTTCCATCCGATCGTCCACCTCATCTGTTCCGCAGATAGAGGAGTCTGAAACTATGCAGCTGGGCTGCACCCCACTCGCCCCAAAGGAACGGGAGCGTTGACAACGCCTGAACCTGTGCCTGTACTGTGGGAAGGAGGGTAACTTCGTTTCAGTCTGGCCGGTAAAAGCCAAGGCTCACCATAGCCAGGGAGGCAC